ATAGGCATTTCTAGTATTAGAGGAAGGAATAGTTAAGTGCCTCAGAGACAGCTACTGAACAGTTAAAACATTTAAAAGTGGTTCCAAAACAATATCTGCATTCCCATCCATGCATCTGTCCATCCTCACAGAGATGAATCTATTAGTGACCAGTAGCAGTTTTCACATTGTGTGAGTCAGTGCACTTTTAACATACAGTCACCTGTTTGAAGAAATTCCATCACAGAAATCCTAATCCTACAATGCCTCTCTCCAGTGCTCAGAGAGGAGGGAAAGCATGAGCTACCAAAAGCAAGCAGTTAATGCTGCCTATAAATACATAATACATTCTTCAGTTAAATAGTAATATTTTCTTCCTAATGTCCAATTCTCTTTCTAAACTGAGTCTTTTTTGGTCTTTCACAAACAGAAATATCTTCTCTAGGAAAGAATTATGTCCATATATAACTGTACTCACATTAGCTGCAATATTTTAAGTTATAGCACTGTGTAACAGCAGAACTTTGCTCCCTTTTCTGCATACTGTATCTAATATTTTTTCTGATTTTATATGTTATCTGTTCTAACTAGTGGGGAAATAAAAACACTGCCTTCAGCTATTTGCCTGAAAGATTACATAAGCATCTTTAAAAGAAACCCTAACAACAAAAATCCAAAACCCAGATAAACTGAGCTATTTAAAAACCAAAGTACAGTGCTTTCTATAACAAACTTAAAGTAAAACTATTTTTGCATCCAGGTAATTAATATAAATTGCCCACAGAAGACAGGAAGAGGACACAATGGTTTTCTCATAGCTGGCATTAACTCTGAGCTGCAAAATTTTATTTCTTAGTTAACATCTGATTTTTACAGCAAGCCTCCCCTTTCCAAAAACACTCCTGTTGTAAAACACAACAAGATATGTGATTTTAAGTTCAATGCATACAGAATTTAGGTCTACAGTATGGCAGTAAATCCTCATTTGTTCACACAGAACTTTATCAGATAAATCCGAATTTTTAATAGACTAAATTTCATGGAAAAAAAATAATGCATTTGTCACAGGAAATGTATATATAGCAAAATGCCTTTTATTAAAGCCTGCTGTGAAATGTAATGTTTTGGCATTTGAAAAATGGATTGCAGGACATATTAAGAAAACTCTATTCAAAGGAATGCATCTAATTTAGATCAGAATCTCCTCTGAGCAGTTTCTCTCTTAGGCTGAGTAGATAATTCAGCTTACCATCACTTTGCAGCAAGGGATGAAGGGAAACTGCACCCAGCAGATCTCCAAGAGAACTCAGATGACTAGGAATGCATTTATTGACCTCTGTGCTCACCTGAAACTCCTTTTTACAAGATCAAAGCACACTGATACTAAAGCAAAAATGCTGCAATTTTAAAGTAATGCTACAACCAGAATTAAAGAAAAAAAAAAAAAAAAGGGACTCACTGGGAGATTAAGGAATTCAGATTTTTCTAGTAATGATCATAATGTTTAAAAATAATAAAGGTAAAGAGACTGTATTATTTTTTTCAGCCACAGACAAGTTAAGTGTTAAGCAGGGATGCTAAGCCACTTTTCCTGGCAGTTATGCTTAGGTTTTTTAGGTTGTTTATTTAGGGCAGTAATATCTACTTAAGCCACTAGTGTAATTCCCAGTGCTGTCTAAAGTGCTAGACTAGATACATAGAAACAGAGGATAAACATATCACTCACTGTCTGCTTATCTATGCATAGTTCTGCCACTGCCACTGCTTGGGAGAACTTCTTACCTTCAGGAATTTATTTTCACACCTCTCTATAGGGAGAGATTATGTTTTCCTCTGCCCCTGCTGTCACTGAATATATAAAATATTTTACGCAAGGTCACAGTGAAAATTCCTGGTAGAGTGTCAGATTTAGCTCCTCTGGTTTCCAGGCCAGCACTAATCCCACACTTCATTTTGTATTCAGCCTTATGAAGTCCACCCCTTTCTAGCTGCTCTGTCTTTGCATGTCTCTTTAGGGCTGAACAGCAGGGAGAATTCCAGTGACAAATCTTGAAAGAGGTCATTTACTCCTAACACTTTCAAACTTCCTGTGAAACCCTTAACAAACCCCTTCACAGGACTTACAAATAAATCATTCTTGAAGGGTGTAAATAAACAATTAAACAAATAAGCAAGTGCTCATCTCTTTCTTACACTCTGTGGTTAAAGGAGACCAGCCCAGTCTTGGCAGGCTGAAGAAGCAGAGATCCACTGCCATGGACCAGAAATGATGGGCAACTCAGTTTTGGTAACTCAGCAGCAGTAAGAGCTGCTGAGCTCAAAGAGAAGCTCATAGGGCTTAAGCAAAATTGCTGAAAGGATCTTGTAGGGGGCATTAATATTAATCTTCCTTTCTTTTCTACATTCATTATTGTGTGCCACTTCTATAAACATATAGAATATAATTTCATACCCATTAAAACAAACAAACAAGCAAGCAAACAAAGAAAAACCAAAGCCCCAACCACCAGCTTTGTCCTATCCCTCTAGTTTTTAGCCCTCAAGTTAATTTATGAGGGTACAGATTCATAATTGCTCCTGTAGCCTTGCAAATACTGCATTTCAAAAAAACCCTCAAAACCAACAAAACAAAACCAAAACTAAATAAATAAATTAGAAAACCCCAACACATTCCAGTGCTCAATTTCCAGAGTTATTACCCTAGCAATGGAGACCTTGTCTCTTACTCTTTTAATTTAAACATTACTGCTAAGCATGCATTGTTCATAGATAAAGTAGCAAACATGAGAGGTGACTGGAGGACCAGAAAAGGAACCACTAATGGTCATCTCACTATCTGCCACAGAAAACAATTTTTATCTATCTATGAGCATATGTGCATGGCAGAATTTTCTGCCCACTTATTCTATGTCTTTCTATGTATCTCAGGGGAGGTAAGATTAAGTTTTATTTCTTGGGCTTAAATTTATCCCTATACTTTCCTTTCTTTTGCCTTCCAGTTATTGTAGGCTGTGGGTTCTTTCCTTCTACAGGGAGATAATTTTTAATTTTCACTACTGTGATATTTCTAAAAGAGCAATTGTTCAATGGAGGTAATGTAGTGAGGAACAAGACAAGACAAAAACATTAGAGGTGGTTTGTTCTGCCTGTTAAAAAAAAAAACCATCAAACAGCTGTATTTAACTCTACAAAAGTTCCTTATTTTTGCCACTTACACTTTCTAGAGTTTTGTGCAAATGTTTTTGCCTTTTTTGTGGTTTTCCCTCTGCAAACAGAAATCCCAGCAAAAGTTGTGGATCTATATATGTTTAAAAAGATAATGATGACTCCTGGTTCTGAAGCCTTTTTTAGATCTTGAGCAATAACTATGCCTATTCTCTGTAGTCACCAGTAAACAATTCTGCTTGCTCTCCCTGCACTCCTGAAATGTTGGATGTGTTTCTGTAATTGTCTTGATGTGTAATGAATTTAATGTCTCATAATTGCACTGCAGGGAATTAATACCACTATGGAGTCCTGGGACATTTTTAGGTGATTAAAATTTCATGCAAGTCTGTGTTTTTTAGCAAAAGCAAGATAAATATAAGTTTGTTGCTTATGAATGGCAGGTGAAAGTGTTGAGGGGTGGTATTAAATGGATCCTTTTCAAAAGGGAGTGAGAATCAGTGCCCTCTCTTGGTTATAAAAAAACACATAAAGCAGCCTGATGAGAGTGTTTATCAGTTCCCTCTGCTGGCTACAAAGCCCAGGCCAGATGAGCAGCTGTGTTTGCGGAGGCGAAGGTCTGAAGTTCTATTCCCAGTGCTGTGAGCCTGTGGTGAACTGATGACTGTGGTGTCTGTGCATGTCTGTGGACATCATTCTTTATGGGGTCTCATCAACAACCACACTGAGTTCAACATGAGGGCACTCAAAAATAATATGGACTTCCTGGTAGGTAAGAAACTTCCCCCTTTGGAGTTGAGAAGCATGCTAGTGGCTATGCCATGCATAATTCTACACAGCTAATGCATCCTTCTGTTCTGCATCATATCCACACCTTGCTTTTTCCACCTCTTCGAGACAAATGTGCGTGTGTGCTCATTACACTCATTTTAGAGACATCTGGGCAGTTAGCGCAAATATTCTTGGCAGCCCTGAAGTGTAACACTTCAAAATGTCAGCTTCTGAGAACTCCACATTTGCAAGTAAGAAGTAAATGGTACCAAAAAGAACACTCCAACCTTGGTAAAAACCAAACCAAAACTAACAAAAACCCCTCAGCAAAACAAAATAGAAAAAGAACCTAACTACTTCTTTTCCGTTCCTGTAGGAAAAGGCCTATATAACTTGGTTACACAACTGGAGAAACAGGTCATACACTTCATACAGTCGCTTTGAAATAAAGCTGAGACCAAAAAAAAAAGTGTACTGCAAACTTCAGAAAGTTTTTGTTTTAAAAAAATATCCACAGCACTAAAAATCACAAACTCCTGGATCAGCTATGCCAGTTTACTTCAGCTCCTAGGAATCTATCGTGGCAACATATAGGATACATAAAAGCTATCTCATTAAAGAGAGAATGAGTCAAAACTAACAGTTTAACATGGTAGATATCAAAGGTATATATTAAAAGCCAGAACTTTGAAACATCTGCAGCATATGTTTCCTGCTAACTAAAAAAGCAACCACTCTTCCCAGACCAACATACTGCTGCATTCTTCACTCTGAAAGTAAGAGGTTGACAGTAGCACACTGGATTTGCATATAGGAAACTCCAACCAAAGCATTTGACTATTTTTGCAACAGAAAATTATGGAAAGGTTCTAACAAAACCTACTCTTATTCTGTGAAGCAACAACACATGTATGTAATAAATATTTTCTGGAATGGAGATGCTTACTTTGCCTCTCACTCAACATAGTTTTCAAAAGGACAGAATGGAAGGTGGCACAGCCCCAGGAACACACAAACCAAAGATAATCAATTTACCACTAAAGAAATCTAGCAGTCAACTCTGCTTATGCCAGCACATAACTCACCTCTGTTTTGCCCTTCCATTCTTCCCACCACACATGAAGTTCCAGGGAACGCACAGTATCAGAACAAGAGTCTTCATGTGGTTTGGAGACCAGAAATTCTCTTTCAGCTTGCCTTAAAGAAAAGCAGCAACAACAAAAAAAAGGGTTCAGATATTTCCTACTATTCCTTTTTAAATGAAGTAGGTGATCTTAGTTGAACTCTCAGTTGATGGATATTAATGTAAAACACACAACTGGGACCCCTGTTGGCAAATCTCAGCAAAAAGTCAAGAGGTAGTTGATTTAGGTCAAAGCTGAGCAATAAAATCAGGCGTATGAGGAAAGTTTATGTTGCCAGCATTGATAGATCTGCCACCTGCACTATAGATGAAAAGCAAATAAGCAAAGAGCAGTTAAGGAAGTATATCTCACAAGCACTAGCATTCATACAAAACATATTTTAGAAAATGAAGGGGGAAAAAAAATTACAACATTCAGTACTTGTTTCCTTTCAGTCAGTGGCTTGAATTGAATTTACCATAGTAGCACGTCACATTGTTTGCTGCAGAAAAATGCAAAGCTTAGGCCTTTAGGAGTAAGTCTCTTGTGCTTTACTGATTCCAAAAATGTCAGTGCTTGTCAAAGTGTTTTTGAAATAAAACCAAAACCGTGTTAATAAAATGAACTTTCCAAGACAATGCTGGCCAAAACTGATTCTTAGATTTCTTTTCAGTAATAAACTGCCTCTGTGGTTGCTAAGTTGATAGGGAGAAGGATTTAAAGGATCAAAGCCAAGTTCTGGTTAAAAAAAAAATAGAACACTGAAACAGAACACAAGCCCTACAGTGAATGGACAGACTTTTGCTGAAGGTGGGTAGAGCTTAGCAAAATCCAGCTATGCTTTCAAAAACGCCTGTAATCATTATTAGGCTCTAATTGAAGATATTCCAGGACTGCTACATTCATTGTGGGTACACTTGGTGATATGCTGCTGTAGATTACTGGACAAGCCTCAGTACTTTAATTTGTAATCACAAACTGAATGTTATTTCAGAAGAGCTACCCTGACTATTTATTAAGTAGCAATTCCCTAAGTGAATTAACAACTGGAAGGATTCTGTCCCATCTTATCCCAGCCTTATGGATGAATAGCTCAAAAAATGATGCTGCAGTGAAGGCTGAAGGTGCTTATGATGCACTGAGTTCCTGCAATGCACACAAGTTGCATGCAAAGCCAGACAGTGAGAGCTCTGAACTCTTCTGCTTGATGTTCCTTTAGGTGCAGACACAGCAGCACCTCCTGTCTTCCACAGAAAAAAGTGGTGCCATAGTTGGCCATTCTCTGTCTGTTAAAGGAATTCCTGCTCTCCTCCAGTTCAACCACCCTACCAGAATTTAGGATGTCTATGCATCCAAGCTGTCACTGAAAGGATGTTTTTTTAAAAGTTTTTATGCTTAAGAACTCTGACAGATTATTATTATCTTTCGGATATCAGCATAACTTATTACATCAGGAAACATGGAAGACATTTCAGGATTGTTCCCTAAGATTGCATTACTAGTCTCAGCTAAAAACATTGTTCATACAGAAAACCGTATGTTTAGCATTCAGTCATCATACTTGATTAAAGATTAAATTTACAGGAGTAATTTATTTTTTTTCTTATTCACTGGAATAGAATTATCAGATGACTTTTAAATTGCAGTTTGAAGGAAATCTATTCATTTCAGGTATGTTTTGTAATGTCACCTTCATTCCATTTTGATTTTAGGTTGCTCTTAAGCAACTAGCTGCACCACTAAAATCCAAGCGGTGGTGGCTAATTCTGGCAGGTGATTCTTATGGAGTATTTCTGTTCCACAGTCAGGACAAGATAGCTCTTTGATTCAAATTTCAAGAACAAAAACTGCTTTCACTGAGTTCAGAATTCACTTAAAATGAATATTTTATATTATTCTTCGAAATACCCTATTTTCAACATCACATCTCTCACTTCCATGCTAAACACTGCCAAGAGCTCAATATAAAAGGACTGACAAGCAAAATAAATTAGATTTATGACTGCTGAAAGGCATTTTCTCTGCTACGTGTGCTTCGAACTTTCTAGTAACTGCTTATCTCATGAAAATAAGTATTTCAAAAATAAGTAAACAGAAACGTATTGTATTTTCAATGCTTCACTTGTCAAGCACGTTTCAAGAACTGGAATTTTAGGTTGATGGACATTCATGACATGCACGCAGCCTCCAAAACAATGACCACAGCTGGGACTGAGAGTTGCTCCTGCAATTCCCCCCAAGCCTGAAGGAGACTGAGGAGGTAATGTGGCACTTTCTGGGGGCACTCAGCATGACAAACCTCAGCTCAGGCAGGGTACAGGAACCCTTCCTTCCCGGCTTCTCTTTCTCTGCCACCAGACATGATGAGGAGAAATATTTCTGCTCTATCAACTGCTTATAACTTGAGAGACCTTCAGGAAAACATGAAATGTTGTATACCTAATGCCCAACAGCTATCAAGATAGCAGGAGTTTGTGTCTGCATTCTGTTCATTCTGCATTCTTTGTGTCCACTATCCTTCCCAGCTTTGTTAACCTCGCCCCAGGTCTAAGATGACAGAAGCATATGAAGGCCTAAACCTTAACATCAAGGCCTAAACCGTAACCAAAGATCAAACATTAAAGAGCATAATTTCTAATAAAATGTTACATATTCCACGCTTGGCAACAAGCAGATTGCATTTGGAGATGACTGAGCTGTAACGGTGTTGTAGTCTAAAAGAGAACCAAGCCAAGGGCACCCTGAGGGCTCCACCCTGCTCCGCGGCCATTACCTGCCGTTCCTGAGGAAAGCTGCCATGGCCCGGCGGGGTGGCGACACCTCACCTGCGCTGAGGGCAGGGCCTGCCCAAGCAGGGCCCTGGCTCGGGGCCGTGTCAGTCAGGCTGGGCCCGCTGGCCCCGGAGCAGCTCTCACCTCCCGTGGTGGCTGTGCTTCCCTCACGCTCCGACGGCAGCGCCATTCCTGCCCAGGGGCGGTCAGAAAACTCATTTGCGACCTGCGCCTCCCACTCCCAAAGGAGAGGGTTGAGGAGAGCAGAAACTCCCCACAGCCCAGTCAGCTGAGGAGCATTTATGGAAACACAATGCATTTGAGGTTTCTTGGGTTTCGGAGATCCAGCCCCGGGGCTTTGCTTCTGCGTGCCAGCACCTCGGTGCCCCTTGGAGAAGGATCTGGGCAGCATTAGCTCGCACAGATGGTGCTGGAAGGCCAAAAATGAAGGGGGATGCATGGGGGACTCTGCTCTCAGCTGGAAAGAAAATGTCACATCATGTGAAGGAAGGCTGCTCCAGCACACACTGCAGGAGGTTCAGGACCTTTCAGATTTCCACATCTGGAGGCAAAACTGAAGCTGTTGTAAGTTAAAAAAGAAAAAAGAAGAACAAAAATACATTTTTAAGTTAATGTTCTTGGATCTTAAAATCCAAAAACCCAAACTGCAAAAGATACTACCGCATATGGTATCTAGCATAAGAGTAACCAGTCCTGTAGAGTTAAAATAAACCCCAGAACTCCCCCCAAAAATACCAAACACTTGGGTGGGATGTGAGGAAAGAAATATCATGTGAGGAAAGAAAATGATAAAACTACTGTACTCAACAGGAGGGAGTTCAGAAGGCAAACAGCTGAATGGAACAGCTTCATCATTTCTTTACAATGTATTCTCCTGGCCCTGCTTTGTTCAGCACAAAGGTTTTTAAGGCTGAATTCTTTTGATCTGTATGTTACACCCCCTAGCATGGTGAAGCCCCATCTCGTGATCAAGGGTTTGAGACAAACAAAAAGCAGCAGCTCCTGAACTTGAAGGCTTGTAAATTGTATGCAGAGCAAAGCTTATTCCTGGACTCTTGCTCTAGTCACTTTAGCACAGTCCTGTTTACACAGATGATTGGTATGTCTGGAAAGACACTATGCTACAAATGCTTCACCTCCCTTTCCTGGCTTTAGAAGCATCCAAGAACCTCACACACAGCAGGTTAATAAATTTATCCTTACAAGCAACCTGGCAACATCACTCTCGTTTTAGAGGAAATTGAGGTGCAGAGAAAGTTGCTGGTATAGGATTTCAAGAGATTGCTCCTAGCCAGATTCTCAAGTGTGTTCCCATCATGGTGGGAGCTAGATGGAGAGCTTGATTCCCATCTGGGCACCCCAATGAGAAACAGATTTTCACAAGTGATTAGCACCCAGTAGCTCTCACAATGGCACTTGCAGACATTTTCTAAGAAGTTCCTTTGATCCTCTGGCCACTGCTTCAGTGGAGGCAGAAAGCTTTTGAAAAATCTTATCCCGTTTGTGGGTGCTGAGCGCTTCTCAAAATTCTTAAGTGACCTGGCCAAGGATGCAGACTAAAATCTGAGCAGAACCACTTTGCCTAATCCCTAGGCCAGTGATTTAACCACAAGTGTATTCTTCCATCTTCAGCAGAGAAAGAATTAGACACTAGTTGAGGCAGCAATCAAAATGCCAAACAGCCACCAGTCTGCCAAGAAAAATGCCCGGATACTTGCGGGCAAACCAGACAGCCACATTTGGTATTTTCCTGAGAAAGGATTATTTCTAACAGCAGTGCCAGTGTCTGGCAACCTGGTTCATGCTCTTTCCAGATGTACCTCTTTTTTTCTGGACTAAAACCTTTGTGAACATGCCCCCAAAACAGGCACACCCTTCCCACTCTTCAGAAAAAGCAGCAGCTATCCAAACACTGTCCTGTCTCCATTATTCTTAGAGAGCCAGGCACGCTTGGGCAAGAAACTCTATTTTGTGTGACAACTAAGAAGCAGTGATTGTGTCAGTGAAGATTCTAGTTTTCATTGAATATTTCATTCATTTTTGAACATAAGCAACCACTTAGCTGCAGTTGTGCTAGATGCAGAGGAGGAAACACATGCTGTTCTTGGCCGGACTTTACCTCTGTGGGAAGCAGCAGCCTCCTTAAAGCAGCCTCTCTGCACTGTATGATTTAGCTACATTTATGATTTTCCTGAACCTCAAGCAAGGACCAGAGTACCTGAAAGTGAAAATGTGTGCAAAACCCCCAAGCCCCAGCCTGGATCCTCTATTTAATGCCCTGTTTGTGTGGGGTCTATTTGCAAATGACAGTTTCCAAAGCTATGAGCTAAAGGCTGACTTAAAAATTCTTCTTCAAACTGACTGTATTCATTCAGCTGCCAATTGAGATGCTGCTCTCTGTGTCACTCAGGAGCAGCTTGTTGGACTGTCTATCACAGGACTCCATGTCAGAATCCAGCTTTCATTAAATGCTGTCTGTCTGGCCTCTGTCCTCAGCTTTCAGACCACCTCCCAAGTATCTGACCAGTCTGGCAATATGAAGATAAGGCACCCAGTCACTAGTATGATTTAAGGGAGCACAGATATTACATGGTAACTATTGAATGAAAATGTTTACAGGAAAATAGTTTTGTAAAACAGCTCAGACTAAGCTGTTGCTGAATGTTGAGTTCAAGCTGTATAAGCCAAAAAATGCAGCTGTATCTTTTCTAGCTACAGCTAAAATCAGCAAAGTACTAGAAAAACCTTTTTGGGGGAGGGGGGAGCGGGGGAGGGAGATACTCTCCTAACAGAGGATCACATCTAGAAGCAAGTGTGGACATTTTTCTGCTCTGCTGGTTGTATACCTGAAATAGCACACAACATAAGTGATGATTGTGGTTTGTACTTTGTTGAATGGCTGCTTTCTCTTGATTCTGACATCTGCTGCAGTAATTACTGTAACAACTCTTGTCAGAAGCTGGACTTCAGAGCACTGCCCCAGTCTAATAATACAGCCTCAGCTTTACAAACAGCAGAAGTGAGGCAGGAAGGGATGAGCTCATGAAGCACATTTATGCAGGCAGTTAACTGCACATGCTTTGATGTACGTTGTGACCTAAAATGTTAGAGGGAATATCTGGAGGAACTTGGTTTATGGTTAGTTGGACTGTGGGCCTTAGGGTTTTGTTAGTAAATTTGTCACTACAACTTTTCACTTCTTCCATCTTGCAGATTTTTGTTTATTTTAAATTCAATTTTCCTGTCCAAGAGAAACCAAGGCATTTCAGTATAAAAGCTAGGGTCAACTGAGGGCTCAGGTCAAGAAGTCTGTCTTGGGTGTCACCTCCTATAAACTCAAAATCTAGCAACAGTTCAAAGGAAGGTCTTAGTTCAGAGAGCAGTAAGGTAATCAGGACACAGCTTGCTGATAAAGGACTGGGAGATGTGACACTGGAGCAGAGGTACCAGAAAGGACCAGTGAAAAAGGCTGGAAGGTTTGATAGTCCAGCCTGATGTGCCATTGGAGAAAGAGCAAACAGGAATTCCAGTGGTGACAGGAAGGATGCTGACAGTAAGCAAGGTTGATATGCAGAAGAGGGACCCTTCTGTGCAATTGGCTTATTCTGGAGTCCAGGTCTTGGAACAGTAGGGCTGTTCCATTTTGCTTTTTGAGCTATATATATCAGCAGTGACTTTTTCTCCTGGTCTAAAGTGTAATTTGTGCCTTACGTCTTTTGTATTAACAAGGTAGCACAGAGACTTCAAAGTAGGATAATCAGCTCCAGATAACCAGTCTCATGATGAGATGCTGTTACTCTGGGAAGTCTGTGTTTCTGTCCAAATTGTCAAGAAATGTGCTCCATAATTGGGAGACATTTCCTTTTACTACTAACACTTGCATTTCCACTAGGAAGCTGTAGTTTTGAATTTACATATTCTGAGAAAATGTTTTGCTTAGAAATTCCTGCTTTTCCTTTGGGAAATAATTAGAATTACTTATTGAATGTAATCACTTAGAATTGGAAGAGAATTCACCGTCAGGGGATAACAGTCAGCATTTCCCAAATCATTCTTCTCTCTCTGCCCATGCAAATGATCACTTGAAATGACTGCCTGACACAGGTCTTGTAAGAACCCAAGTCCCATTTTTAGCCCAGACAAGCATTAGAGAAAACTGTACTTCAGGAAACTACACAAGGCAGCCTCCCTAAACTGAGTAGTTTTCCAGCCTTTACAGATTCACCCATGACAAAGCAAAACAGCCTCCTGACTGAATTTACACAGCTAAACAAATAGCATTTTAAGTGTTTAAATGTCATTGTGAAAGTAAAAAGATGAAATGTGCTGTATATCATCTCCACAAAACCAGAAGTAGTTCTATTATAAATAAACAGAGTTTGCTTGGTATTAGGGACATAGGAAATTCCATTCAAGAACAGACAAATGGCACATCTTGTCTGGTATCCTGCATCTGGCACAGGCCTATAACAGATGCTTAAAATACTTGGCTCCCTTGGTCCCACAGTCTCCCCTGTTCCACCTGCCACCAATGTTATAAATCACAGTTTTCCTAACCTCCAGTGAAAGTCCCTTCTCTGCTCACTTGCATAATGTGGGAAGTGGAAGCAAGGGCCAAGGGAATGCATATTTGCCCTGTGTGATCCTTACTGTGCTGTTTGGTACCAAGTGTGTCCAAACTGTGGTTCTGACTGGTGCAGAACATGTAAGGAAGGCATTGCTGCCTGGATTGCCCATGTAGCCAAACGAAGCAGCTCATAGGTGAGGCCTGTGCTTGGCTCCAGGGAAAGCGAGGAGCGAGCTCCTTCTCACCCTTGTTTGCACACAGGAGGCCAGCACAGCCACCACTGGCCTGTTACTAAGCAGCTGCTCTCTTTCTATCAAGGTGCCTCTTAATTGCACCCTACTGCTCAGTGACATTTATATCCATCCTGGTGTTGCTTTCTTAGTAACTTTGAAAGTTTAATGCATGATGACTGAAAATTAAATGAGTTTATTGTCAATCAAGCAGAGTTCACTTTTGTCCTTATTCCAAAGGTTATCAAAACATGGTTCATCTACCCAGTGGGCCACTTAATGCATTTTCCTCTCTTTAGGTGACTGGTGCTTCTAGCCATTGTCACCAGCGTGACATGGCTGTATCCAACAAAACTGACTGTAACATTCTCCTTTATTAGAAATGTTACTTGCCACAGATGATCTCCTTCATAACCAACATTAAATTCAATGGTACAGTTGGTTAAAGGCTTCTAAAACAGACAAATCAAAAATCAAAAAAATCAAAACATTCCCATTTAAAAAGTTAAAAGTTTTAAAACCCCATTTATTAATTGCATTAAAGCCTCTCTGTGAAATATAATAGTATTTTAAAAAGGCTGAAGAGAACTTATGACTATAGGTAAAACAACCAGCTAGGGAAAAAAAAATAAATTGCATTTGAAGGAAAAAAATTGTGCCCCTCAATTTGAGCATATTGTCTCTGCTGTAGCTAAACACTGCTTTTAGAGAATGACCTAATAAATCTTTACATATTAATAAGGGAAAACTGAATCCTGATGGTGTGCAAGGGCTGTTGGATACGGTTTGATATGTCAGTTTTCTCCATGCTCAGAATTTTCTGATTTTGGTTCCATCCTACTGAATATAACATTCAGTGTCAAAGGTTTGAATCTATAACAGACCTTCGATCCAGCTACCCCAAATTTTGTATCCACAAAGGACAAGACTTGGCCACATCAATCTGCTCGAAAGAGTGGACATTTTAAAGCGGCTACAGTACCTAGGAGAAGTTTGCATCCTATATCATATTCCAAATCGATATTACATTCAATGAGGCTCAGTATTAACAGGAGCTCTGTGACTTTCTGTACTTCTTCCCTGTTTCACAAGAGCAATGATTTTCAGAATATTCATCTTAATCCAGTCAGGAACAGTCGTAGAGGTTTTTCAAGGCAGACAAATGAGTCAGCCACTTGTTCCAAATAAATGGAAATGGTGTTCCAAGTTTCCTAGACAGCTTTGAAAACTACATACAGCAATTCAGCTGCTTAATCTATTATGTTCTACATCTCAAATTTAAGAGGACACAAAATTGCATGCTTTTTATTCCAGATAGAGGTTGTTTTGTCCACAGCAGTCCACAGCCACCTCATTTTGTCTCTGTTGTAACATACATGCTGGCCACCTTGCTCATGCCATTCCCAAGAATGCAAGTAGCACTCTTCAGAGCAAAGAGAAACTGCTGAGGTTCCCAGACTGCCATGGATATGTTAAATAATACTGAACCAAATTTCCTACTGTGATTGCATTTTCCCGTTTGTTTAGTGAGGGTATTAATATTTTGCTTTCTGAGGAGAAATGTTGTAAACCTCAATTAATGTATCCATTACAAAAAGGGCATGAATTACAGCTTTAACTGTGCAGTAAAACAGAACATCTGCATGAATAAATAATTATAAGAAGATATATAAAACTATAAAAATAACTTCTTTACTGCAAACCTTGCCTTAACAAGAAACATAACTCCTTCCTCCCTCAAGAAATCTGAATACACTGACTCATGTCTTTGTTTAAGTGTCATGGTAAATTTGTTCTTTTATAACATGTAGTAGTTTAGCTTTGAACTTTGGAGTTTTGGAAAAGGCAGAGCGGAAAAATGTTTTCATGGGAGAGGAGTGCACATTCCAGAGCTGTCGACTGTTACTCGTTTATGAGGCAGGGGAAAAACTGCTTTGGTTTTAGGCTTTGGTTGATGCAATTTGTTGTCTGGTATTTTGTGATAAACCAGAGTTTACACTGTACACTGAAGTATTTAAATTTTTTCTCTCATCTTTCCAGCTTTTGCTTGTTCAAAATTCTGACCAAGCTTGAAACTGACTGCTGTTGAGGAGAGAAAAATTAGTTGTGTACAGCTAGAAGTCATAATCCTTTGTAATATACAAAATAACACATAATTTTCTATGAATTACAGAGATGTACCAAAGCATAGTGGAGGAACAAAGATGATACTACTCATAAAAACAGAACAAACCAAAATGTGAGCCCTTCGTGGTGCCTTTGTAACCTGAGCAGCAGTTTTAAACATAATTTTCCTGGGCTGTTTCATGTTTAGTTCATGTATTAACGTCTGATTATATAAAAAATATTAAAAAACGAAAATAAAATAAACTCTCAGTAGGTTATTTATTCAAGTAAAGTAAAAAAATACCTTTTTGCTCTCCTGCCTTTTTGAAGGCTATTAACATACATTCTTTCTTCTTTCTTTTTCTAGAAAAGTAAATGCAGATTGTCAGAATCCTTCAGATTTGATATTCAGCACTGTTATGATCTCTTCATTACTGGATGTGGAGTCTGGATATCAGAACTGGTATAGTGAAGTACTCTTCTATTAAACTAAGGTAATTTTCTGACATAACTAATGAAGAAGTCTAATGCTGAAACAATGCGATTAACACATCTTTCAGAATTTCATTTCCTAAGAAAAATTCTCGCCATCGAAAAGGATCTGTCTTGTCAGAAATCTTTAGAGACAAAAGGTAGAAACTACATGAGAACACTAACCTCTAGCCAGAGATGAGAACATCTCCATTCACAAAGCCAGAGGATGTCAGGGTTATTATTCTGAGAGAGGGAGGCTTTGCTGAGGACATCAACTTCTTTTCAGACACAAACTGAGATTGTTTTCTGCTTATTGGGATAGGCATCCCTGCAGTGGCCTACCTCATAAATATGGCTCAGTCAGCAGGAAAATTGCCTTTCTGAAAGCCCACCAGTCACTTGTCAACAGTGTCACATTTTCCCTGGAGAAAGGAACTGCTCACAGCACAGGGCTGATGTAGGCACAGCATGTTACAGGAGCATGCAGCTTAGGATGCAGACAGGAATGCACTCAGCTGCAACAGTGTAGTAAGAAAATACAACCTAAGCAGGTGGCTCTGAGGCTCGCCCATATGCACGCAGAGATGTAATTAACTTCAGAACCAAGTTATGTAACAAAGATTTTCTGAGAGTATCTCTTCCTTTCCTGGCACATCAGTAATCAAGATACTGTCGGTTTTCTGTCCATTGCCCTAATAGCATTGCACAACATTCAAAGTATATTAACATGAATCTTTAAAATTTAAATGGGTTGTCATAAAATCACCACTCCAGACAAAAAGAAACCAAATGCAGAGCTAGGAGCACAGGAAGATCAGCTAGAGGATAGATATATTCTTATACCTAACAAAGCTGCCGCAGGCTCCACATTTGCTTTCAAAGTAATGGAATTCCACTACAAAACAGTAACCAACATGGAACACAGTTTTTTGAGGTCATATAAAGCCCTGTCTGTTAAACAAATGATACTCAGGTTTTTGGTTTTTTTTCCAAGGCTTCATATTTCTATATATTTTCAGCACTTTTTGTCCTATCCATCTCCTAAACCAGCACTTTGGACCATTGAGAAATTGTTTGCTTAAGGCCAGAACTCTGATTTCAATACCTTTCTGTTATTAATATTCCTTAAGTTACATTTCAGCTTCCAATCAAGATTTGCTGCAACAGTTTCTCTTTTGATGCAAGTCCACTGTACAGTACCTTGGATCTCAGCTAGAATGCACACCATGTCATGTGAACAGTAAAAAACAATATAGCTCAACTTTCCCAAAGTAGGTTGAATCAGGAGATTTAAGGATAATCAAAACCATATTTTTACCAGCAAGCACAGCCAGTAAGTCATTGAAGCTATACACATATATTCATATCCACATTGCACTTCATTAGAAAAAGAATCTCACACCCAGGAACACAAAAATTCAGAATACTGAATAATTGTGGAACCAAAAAATGGAATAATACGGTGGTCTTTGCATGTGAAGTGCATCATAAAAGGGATTCCAGTAAAACAAGGTGGTTCTTCAGACTTTGTATAAACTTTTTTTTATGCCTTTCTTAGCAGACATTGGAAAATTTGAAGGACTTTTTATAGAGCAGTATTACTTACAGAAGTATTTATTACCTGTTTTCTTCAGGTGAAACTTACTTTTGTATGAATTGATATACAAATACATGCAAGTATGGAAGTGAACATAAGTTTTCAGAAAAGCCTGTCGCTAAATATTTAAGACCACCTGATAGTCTGTGGCAATGTCAGTAGATAGGTACCAGTTAATTTGATATTTTATGTCTGCAGGTTACACTACACATGAGAATACTTCTGTGTAAATGCAACAGTATGTTTCTTATAGATGTTGTTTATGTGCAAGTTTTATGGGACTTGCACCTAGACCGAATCTGAATTTTGACTGCTGTCACTGAGAGCAGAATCTACATCTTTGTACAGTTTCTTTCATGTTTTTATTTCAAATTCTGGCTTTCTTTTCACTGCTAACTACAAAGGCTGATTTATCTATATAAGTGAATGTTACCCAAACAGCAGCCAACATAGGACAGAGTCAATAGCAGCAATTCATGGCCTTCTTTAGTTTGTTATGGTTTTTTTTTTAATGCTCAGAGCCCATACAGGTGAGAAACTATTTCCCATGCTGGAGATGGAAATACTGTTCACCCCTTTGTAGAATACAAAGCTAAGAAGTGAAACTTAAATGATTTAGTCAAAACTAAACACTTTCCTCATCTCAGAAAGGCAGCACTGCCCAATTCAGCCGACTTGCGGCTACCTGAAAAAGGGAATAATTTGATCACCTATGCCTGAAATCACACATTTTTAAGTTGCTCTAACCACAGAGTAGGCACAGCTTAACAGAATGATTTCACCATCAGAGTTATTTCCCACGTTCCTTTGTTACTCCAGTAACGTAAAAAAATTCAGGAACTGAAAAGTCATATGATCCACAGAAAAGAGAATATTGTGGTTTCTAAGAAAAATATTTATTACCAAGTAAGCTATTTTGATTTATTAAATGATAGCTTCCCATCATAGTGTTTTTTGATACGGTGTTTGAAACCACAATGATTGTACAAAGCCAGCACCTTATTTGTTTAAAGGCACTCAGTTGTGTTTTTCTTAATAGAAGTATCAGTTCATGACAATGCCAGGTTCATAGAAGCTCATCCAGGAATAAATTCTTGAAAAATTCTTTTTTTCCTAGAGTGTCCATTAGGCCAGGGCAGGCACTGTGTCCCAGTGCTAGTCTTCTAACATTAGATTTATAGGATGTTATAATTAACAACAGGTGATGGGCAGCACTACATGCACAGCAAGCAAAGTGAAAAGACTGGCAGCTCAAGAGCCGCTTGTGAATCATCAAAGCTTTTCCCTGGATAAACTCACTAGTAAACCTGATAGTTCTTCTGGCAATTGTTTTGGGTTGGGCTCTTGTTGTTTGGTTTGGTTTGTTTGCTTGGGTTGTTCTTTTATTCCACCACCACCCTTGATCCTTTTTCGTATTAAAGATTATGGACCATCTGTCTGTTTTTACAGTTGTGTAGCTTTTCCACTTCTGTGTTAACCATCTATAAAATGAGACAATAATGCTTCCCTACTCACAGAGGACTCCTTGGAGAATTACAGACAAGTCTACAAAAGATTTTGAAACTATGTAGATTTTTCAGAGACACTTGTGTCTCTATTATTGCAGCTCTTTCAAACTTGTGTTCTGTATAAATAACAGGAAAAAAACAGTTCAAAACACATACACCCTCCAATTTTAAGAAAAGCTGTGCTTCAGCTTAGGGCTAAAAAGGAGGAAGACGGACACTGAAACACATTAATTGGCAAAACAAAGATGTGTCCCAAATGAGTTTTCATTTGCATAGCTAATCAAATATCTTTTTTCCTTCAGTTGTGAGAATATAAACAAGGCAAGGTATGTTGGGAAAGGCAATGACTTTGTTTAATCAAGTGAAGAAGGACGTGCATCCCAAATCTACCAACACATCTAATTTTTATGAATAATTCTCAATGTACTAGCTTGATGTGATCATGATATTCATGAGTTAATTACGTGTTGTAACATATTGATTATAACAAAGGGGTACTTTATATTAATTTAAAAACCACATCTGTTTTGGATAACCTACTGTATATTCTGAGGGACACTAGTAGATACTTTAAATGCACTAACTGGTGAAAAGATATAGAAAGAAAAAATATTTAAAAGAATAAATATTTAGCAAGTAAAAAAGTCAGTATTCGTACTGTAGAAAGGATTTGAGATTTTTCATGGATATGGTGCTCTTGCCAGTATACCACGATTTGCTCTACAAATAACTCTTATACACTAAATTAATTTCTGCTGAAGCTCTTTTAGTGTGTTTCTCCCCTCCTTTCATCCTCCCCACCTCAAAATACACTTGATTCAGTAACCTTAAAGTTCTTAGCACTACTAGAGAGCAATTACTGTTATTCTAGATTTATATTACCAGGTTGCCAACAGGACCGCATGGTGAAATGGTGAATTCATCCTGCTTGCTGCAGTTTGCACTTCATTAAAATTCACACAGCAGAGCTTATCTATAGCTGAAACAAAACGTGGCCCAGGGGAACACTTGTTACTCTGGGTAATTAATCAGAGGTGATGGGAAATTTTTCTCAGTGCTTTTGATAATCTCTAGGGCATCATCCAACTGTGAAATTTTGGCCTTACTGAAGTGGAAAGCAAATTTCATCAGTAACTAGAACAGGCCAAGACATTTCTCACAAAGCATTTCACGACCTGGTGTCATCTGGCAAAGTTTCTCAGTACAGTCTTTTTTCAGAGCTGGAGCAGCAGTTCATTTCTACTGAATATTTCACATGCATACATTAAAAGCCCCTTCTTTTGGCAATCATAAGCATATTTTCTGAAAGGTTCTGCACATTCTTTAGGGTAAATACCTTTTTAAAGGGCTTGAATTTGTACTCAAAAGAAGTCTTTTAGCTCAGTGAACTTGCAATCACATCCTCAACAGGAAATTCGTGGTTTTGCATGGGCAGGGAGAAAATAAATAAGACTGTCAAAATGCTTGAAGATTCAAGTACATAGCTTGAAACAGCCAGAAAACTTCCCCTCTCTAGAGTGAGGCTAGCCTCAACAATAGCTTTTTTATCAGAAAAAGAGGAATCACATCATCAGATACTCAAAGTTGTATTACTGAAAAAATAATACCTTTAAAAAAAAAAAAAAAAAAGCAAGCTCAAACCAATAGCATTTTTTTTTGTTGTGGTTGCTAGGCATAGGTTTTCAAATTCATTTATGTTGTGACCAAACAGAAGTGTGTTGTTCTTCCAGAAGTGCTTCAGGATAGCTGAACATCTTCTGCATTAAAGTAGGAGGAAGTTTGAAAAGGCTGAAAATACTTTCAGTTGAAAAGAAGATTCTTCCCAAATGCAAAGGACTATTCAAACATCAGTCAGGTCTCTTAGAAAAAGCTCACTGATTTAGACAAGTGTTAGACAGAGCTGAAACTGACTCAG